TAAAATTAATAAAAAGAGAACAGATGTCACAAGCATATGTCACCACGTGTAGAACCAAGAAGCTTAAGGATAGATATGGTCCAGTTCAAATGAGCGTGTGTGGAAATGGGTTTATGCTAATTACCATACGCAAGTGATTAAAATAGAAATTAAAATGAGGTTAAGTGTATAATGACTCACCGTTGACCTAAAGTATAGTCAACGTGGATTCTCGTGTCAATATCCTGCTATAGACCCTAATAGGTTCAACTATTATCGATGTAGCAGTTGACATCAAGTTCAATATTCAAGCCTGCAGGGTGCAAAGTCTCTAATTCAAAAATATATTTAGTCTCCATCTGTGAGACCGCCCTGGTCTTAAAAGTTCCTCTCCAATGTGCGGTTACTGCATCAATACCAACAAATCTCAGACTGGAGGGGTCCCTATGGTGATATTTCCTGTAATGGAGGGACAGGGAGTGTTCCTTGTATCCCTTTTTAATGTTATTGACATGTTCCCGGAGGCGATCCCTAAGTCGCCTCCGGGGGAACATGTCATGTCAGCTATACCGGTTTCTATCCCTGCAACAAATGCATTGCTTGTAAGTGCAATGGAGTGAGGAAGAAAAAGCTAGACACGTTTTCCTCTAACCAGACTAATAAATGCTACAATATTGATAAATTCATCTGTTGCAATAGTAGGTACGTTGTATACTTATTAGAATGCCCCTGTTCCAAACAATACATTGGGAGGACGACTAGGCGACTTAGGGATCGCCTCCGGGAACATGTCAATAACATTAAAAAGGGATACAAGGAACACTCCCTGTCCCTCCATTACAGGAAATATCACCATAGGGACCCCTCCAGTCTGAGATTTGTTGGTATTGATGCAGTAACCGCACATTGGAGAGGAACTTTTAAGACCAGGGCGGTCTCACAGATGGAGACTAAATATATTTTTGAATTAGAGACTTTGCACCCTGCAGGCTTGAATATTGAACTTGATGTCAACTGCTACATCGATAATAGTTGAACCTATTAGGGTCTATAGCAGGATATTGACACGAGAATCCACGTTGACTATACTTTAGGTCAACGGTGAGTCATTATACACTTAACCTCATTTTAATTTCTATTTTAATCACTTGCGTATGGTAATTAGCATAAACCCATTTCCACACACGCTCATTTGAACTGGACCATATCTATCCTTAAGCTTCTTGGTTCTACACGTGGTGACATATGCTTGTGACATCTGTTCTCTTTTTATTAATTTTAATCTGTCGCTGAATACTAACATGCATTTTATATATATTCTTTGTTTATTTACCTTGTCATCATGGGTTTGTATTTCCATGTGACAGGTATTTTATATGCTTTACTATGCCAATTTACCATGTTGCCTTGCCCCTGCATATGTGATCAATACCTATGCATAGGGCTTGATACCGTATTCAGTTAAGATTTACATTTTATTCATTAGATTATTTTATGGGGCTTATGTATCTATTGGCCCCTGATTTTGGTATTTGTTTACTCATTATTGACCTTTTGAGCCCTTGTTCTGACCAATTCATACTCTCTGGGAACATGTTTAATTTCTTCTCCCCTTAATATTATTTTTCATTGGATGTCCTCTGAGGGGGTTCCCCACATAATATTATTTAGTTTGCTATTTATTACAGTGCATATCACGTCCGGTACCCACAATAACGCTTCAGTTAGCGCTGGGTATTCTACCTTTTGGCACATGACATAATGGTGCCCGCACATGCGCAGTTGCGCAACACGGACGCCCGGACTCCACTAGTACGGAGCCGCTGTCTAGAGACCTGCATCTACTTTGGCCCATGGTAAAATGGCATCCGCGCATGCGCACTTGTGAATTGCGGACGCCCGGACTTCGGCAAGATGGCGCCGCATCAGTGCGCATGCGCCAGATTCGGTATAAACGTTAGAGGAGACGGTCACGGCGGTCCTTGTTCCACCTCTGAAGAAGTGCGTGCGCACGAAACGCGTCAGATGGACCTGGGACGCCGTTGACACTAAGCCGCCGGTGCCACGAGGAGGCCCGGCGGCCATCTTTAAATTACAAGGGGTCAGTGTATTCATGCATACCTGTCTACACCCGTTTTATTGTGCACCTATGTTTTTATAATAAAAGCCTATCTACTACACTATGAGCACTTCCCTGTGTTCCCTGTGAGGAGCTTCCTCAACTTTTTACAGCCCCAAGGGATCTCCTGGTTATCTTCAGTGAAGGGGGAAGGCTTACTCTGATTGGCATCGTTCTGACTTGCTGGACCACTCTTTCACCACAAGAGGGCGCAGGACGTCTATCCTTTCCAGCTATCTATTTGACCAGATCTGAGTGCAGAAGGGGATTCTACAGGATATATGTACACATGCGTATAATATTACGCTATCTGGTTAGTGTAAATCTTTACCATCCGCACTAGGAACACGGAGCACTTTTTTTCACTGGACTGTGTCTTATCATCACCTTTCTTCTCAAGCTCTGCATTTTTATATACATGCATTGTGGGACTTTATATGAGTTTTCCTTTATGTTCAGCTGCTATCACCATTGACGAGCGCTTACTGTATATTTTACCTTAAATCTGGCAGGTCTATCGATGAGAGGAACAGAAAGACGGTAGAACTTTGGGGTTTCTCAAATTAAAGGTGTGAGCACCAGCCTGTACTGAAAGGCAAAAGGGAAATCTCCACCTATAGGACAGATTTCGGGAGCGAAGCGTGTCTAGTAATGGACGCAGGGCTCGCCTTTGGCGTAAGGTCATGCTGGATAAGTCCTGGTACAGTTGTATTTCCGCCCCTTTGTAAGTTATATGTCTTCTGTCCCTTGCACATCTGAGGATATCCTCCTTGATCGGGAAGCTGACAATGCAGCATACAACATCCCTGGGTGGGTCCGCGTCACCCCCCCTAGGCCGGAGGTCCCTATGTACGCGCTCGATGTCAATTGGAGTTGCTGGCGGGCGGCCTAGGAGGTCATTAAAGATGGTAGTTATGGCCTTAGGAATGTTAGTGGCTTCCACGGATTCCGGCATGCCACGTATTCTGATATTGTGTCTACGGCCACGGTTGTCTAAATCCTCGATATGCTTGTAAAAATCCCGGATAGTTGAGGTGTGCGACTCTGACTGTCGCTGTAAATATACTATGGCGGTCTTAGTTTGCCTAGCGGCCATCTCTACTTGTTCTATTCTGGACCCCATAGCGCGGATATCCTCGCGCAGGTCGTTAAGGGCAGTGGTCAGTGTAGTGGTTAGTGTGACCTTAATGTCTGCAGCCACAGCTTGTAAGTCCCTTAATGAGAGGGACTGTGTGGCAGAGGAGATATCATGTTGTGGCACTGTATCCTGGCCAGCGTGTGTCTCAGAGCAGGGAGAGCAGCCTGTGTCCTCGGCTGCAGAGGGAGGGGGAGAGGGGGACGGAGAGAGAGAGGGAGAAGGCTGCGGCCCTGCTCTCTGCTGGTGGGAGCTGAACAGCTCCCTTATGTTCCTCCCAGTGGAGCTAGGGCCCCTTGGGGACCGGGACCGTGCGCCGGAGGGCATCCTGTCGGGTTTCCCCATAACGAAGGGGCACTGTCTCACCCGACTCCTCTGTACGGTGTGGTGGATCGGTCCGGCCGGCGGGAGCTCCGTATTTAAGCAGCCATGCTCGTCGGCGGCTAGCCACGCCCGCTCTTCTCTACTTTTAACTCTCTACTTTCTCCACCCAGTACCTCACTCACTGCTTAAGAGATTGCAAATCATTTCAAAAACAGGATTGATGCAATTCGTAGGGGCATCTCCACTACACAGACATCAATCCCACTTGGCATACCTTATACTAAACCTCCCTCAACAACTTTCCTCTTTTGACCTTGCTACTACTGAAGAGGTCACTAAAGTTTTCTCAGAAGCCCTTCTCACCACCTGCCCTCTGGATCCTGTCCCCTCACAACTGCTATGGTCACCCTCTTCCATCCTATGCTCTCACATCTTCAATCTCTATTCCTATCCAATGATGCCTTCCCCACCCCTCTAAAGCATGCACACATCACTCTCATATTTAAAAAGCCCTCACTGGACCCCACCAACCTGAACAACTTAAGACCCATCTCCCTGCTGCCATTTACCTCTAAACTCAACGCTTAGTGAGGTAGGAGCTCAGACAATTGTAGACTGACAACCTTCTTGACCCTTTAGTCTGGCTTTCACTTACTACACTCCACTGAAACTTCCCAACTAAAACTCACTAATAATCTACTAACTGCTAAAACCAATGGCCACTACTCCGTACTCTTACTACTTGACCTCTCTGCGGCCTTTGATACTGTTGACCATCCCCTCCTCAAAAAACTCCACTCTGTTGGCCTCTGAGACTCTGCTCTCTCCTGGTTCTCTTCCTACCTATTGCAGCACTCCTTCAGCATTACCTATAACTCTGGCTCCTCCACTCCCTCAAGCAGGGGCGGACTGACAACTCATGGGGCCCCCAGGCAAGAGGATCATGGGGGCCCTGTGTCCTTGCCCAAACTCAAAAAGCCTATTAAAAAGGTACCAGGGGCATCTCATGGGGCCCTCTACTGACCCTGGGCCCTCAGGCAGTGCCTGAGTTTCCAAATGGTCAGTCCGCCCCTGCCCTCAAGATGCTGTCCTTGGACCCTTTCTCTTCTCCATCTACACCTCCTCCCTTGGTCAGTTAACTCCCATGGCTTTAAGTACCATCTCTATGATGATGACACACAAATCTATCATTCCACTCCTCACCTCACCCCTTCAGTCTCCTCTCGCATTACTAACCTACTTAGTGACATATCGGCATGGATGTCACTCCACTTCCTCAAACTCAATCTTTATTTCTATCAAATCTTCTATATCGGGGAAAGATGACATGCGGAGCAGTGTGCGCACTCAGCAATGCCGGTGTATGTATGGAGAGCTCTGTTGGGAGCAGGTGGGGGGCTCTGAGAAGAGCCTTTGGGGGGTGGAGATGGAGGTAGCTGCCCATTATTTCTTCTTCGGAGCGGCCTTCTTGGGCTTAGCCGCCGCCTTAGCTGCTGGCTTGGCCTTAGCGGGACTCTTGGCAGCTTTTTTTTTTTTCGGCTTGGCTGCAGCTTTGATCTTCTTGGTGCTCTTGGTCACCACCATTGGCTGCAGCCTTTGCTGGTCTCTTGGCTGCAGTGGTTATTTTGCTGGCCGCCTTCTTCTTAGAGGACTTGGTGGCCTTCTTGGGGCTCTTGGCTGTGGTGGTTGTTTTTCTGGCTGCCGCCTTCTTGGGGGACTTTGCAGCCTTCTTAGCAGCCAGTTTCTTGGGCTTTGCCTTGTCCTTGGTGCCCTCGGGCTGCTTCTTGTTGATCTTGAACGATCCGGAGGCCCCATGGCCTTTGACCTGGACGAGGCTCCCCTTAGTCACCAGCGCCTTGAGGGCGATCTTCAGGTGGCTCTTGTCCTTGTCCACATCGTATCCTCCGGCGGACAGGACCTTCTTGAGGGCGGCCAGGGACACCCCGCTGCGCTCCTTGGAAGCAGACACAGCTTGGACGAGGAGCTCGGACACGCCGGGACTGGACACCTTCTTGATACCTTTCTTGGCTCCTCCAGCTGCCACCTTCTTAGCCAGCTTCTTCTTGGCGGCGGCCTCCGCTGGAGGAGCTGCGGCTGGGGCGCTCTCAGTCTCTGTCATGACTAAGGAAATGTTTCCACAATAGTTCATTACAAATCACAGGGCGCTCTGCCTTATATACAGACGTTCTAACACTGTGATTGGTTGACACACAACTCGACTCTGTCCTGCTATTGGTTACACAGCAGACACACCCACTGGCTTTCATTTCAGTGTTGGAGAATCTTCATTCTCTCATTGTGTTTCCCGGGCAGAGAGAAAAACGATTTTATTCCTAAATAGAACGATGGCCGTTGTGCACCGGGGAACCAATCTGCTCCCTGGACTGTCACTTATCGGGGGTCACTTCCAGCTGTCAGGAGCTGCTCAGGAGGCTGAACGCAGAGGCTGCAAACACAACCATCCTCCGGAGTGGGGGGCCCATTTTTCCTTCTACCTGCTTGGGGACACACCCACAAAACAATCTTCTCCCATCCCCCACTACAATCCGCTTCACAAGAACCCTTGTCCCTCCCTCCCTTCCTAGCCCTGCCAGGCCTGTGCTCGGATCAAGGGTCTGGTAAGAACTTCGGGGGGACCCCACATTTTCTTCACCCATTTTATGAGGGGAGGGGTTCCACTTAAAAGTCCTTTTATGCCTGGTAGGGCTCTTAGGGGGAACCCCACACACTTTTTTTTTTATTTCTTACTTTGGGGTGCCTACTAACCTTCCTACCAGACCTAAAGGGTCTGGTAAGAATTAGGGGGGGACCCCATGCTGTTCATTTTTTTAATGTAATTTAAAAAAAAAGTCAGTCTTTCTGCAGCTGGTTCTATTTATTGCACAGATGTGTAGCTTGCGTGTAGTTTAAAGCTTTAAAACTGTACTTTTTGAAAAATATGTTTTCACTGATTCATATCTCCATAGCCCTTTTATGGCCAAAAACTTGCATATAAGCCTTCAAAATGGGCACGTTTGGATTTACAACTGAGTCCCATAGACTTTCATTGAGCTTGATGTTCGTCGTCAAACACCTATTAGGTTCAAAACGTTCGACCGCAAACCGAACACAGGGGTGTTCGGCACATCACAATAACTTCTATTACCCAACACAACAGCTCTTCTCAGAGCCACCCACATCTCCATACACAATTCTATAAACCTCTTTGTCAACCAATTCAGTGTCAGAGAGGAAAATCAGGAGATAGGAAAAAGGTGGAAAGCAGTAACTGACCATTGTAGATGTATGGCGTGGCTCCTCCCCAAGTCCATTATCCTCAAATTATGTTGATGCAAAATCTAAAATAACTAACTTTTTGTATGTGTTATAATTTAAATAAAAAGGTATAAATCTTGTATAATATATTATACATGTTAATTATGACAATTATACCATTCCATTCATCCCAGGCTCTGCAATCAGCCAAACATCATTATAGGAGCATTAGGAATATTCATATGAAATATTTTATTTTCACTCCAATCACTCACAATACAAAACCCTGCAAGATGGAGTTATTAATTTATTGATTTGTAGAGAAGAGATCAATCAAAAGTCTACAGAACAAGGTGCCTGGCATTTGCATGTTCTCCCTGTGCCTGCTTGGGTTTCCTCCGGGTGCTCTGATTTCCTCACACACTCCAAAGAAATGCTGGTAGGTGAATTGGCTCCTGTCTAAATTGTCCCTAGTATGTGTATGTATGTGTTAAGGACCGACTGGCGGTAGCCTCTAGCGACCCACAGGCAGGGATCCCTCAGGGCGCGGAATCTAAGCCCCAGTCTGCTGTTTCACCAGAGCCCCTGATGGTGGGGATGGACTTGAAGCAGCCTGAGACCAGGTCACGACCCCCGAGTTCAAGCAGCTGTGGTAGAGGTGGATTTGCCAGTGGTAGGTACAAGTGAGAGCCAGATGTGAAGAGGTAGCGTGTAACGTAGTCAGACAGGCCAGGTCGGTAACAGCAAAGGCAGACGGTACAGATCAGCAGGCTAAAGGATAAACGGGTCACAGGCCAGGTTCAGCAACAGGAGAAAGCAGAAGAATGGTCAGACAAGCCGGGGATCAGGGCAGGAGAGAATCACGATAATCTGGGTCAGGCAGGTTCTGCAACAAAGGCAATCTCAGGTACTAGGAAAAGGAACACAGGAATAAGACCATACGGCAATGTGAGCATTGCAAGAGCTGATTTAAATAGCCCGCCCGGCACTGACAGGCGCACCTGGGTCCTAGTGCCTGCCAGTACTGTCATTGGTCACAGGCGCGCCTGGGTCCTAGTGCCCGCCTGCCTCTATGTCTTGTTGGAATCCTACGCATGTGCAGATTCATGCGTCGTGTTGATCTTCTCATTCCCTGACAGTATGAATGTGAGTTAGGGGCCTTAGATTGAACACCCCTTGAGGGTTAGGTACTGATGTGAATGTACAATAAATATGTAAAGTGCTCAGTAAATTGATGGCGCTATATAAGGACCTGAAATAAATAAATAAATAACAGTTTTGCTAACATTGTGATCACATGATCACCGGGTCCTGATTACCGGGATCGCACAGCGACCCCTTGTGTTGGTACAGTCACATTGGCATACCAGTTCTTCGCTGTACAAGGCAGGCTGGAGGATGAGAAGTGCTTAAAGGAGTGAAAATAATTAAAAATTATACATTTTTTTTTGTTTGCTTTATTAATACAATAATTTATAAAATACAAAAAAAATCAGGAAGATAATTAAATGGAGAAAGATAAAAAGGAGTGAACAGGCCCGATTACCAGGGGCGGACTGACCATTTGGAAACTCGGGCACTGCCCAAGGGCCCGGAGTCAGTAGGAGGCCCCATGGGATGCCCCTGGTACCTTTTTCATAGGCTTTTTTGAGTTTGGGCAAGGACACAGGGGCCCCATGATCCCCTATTGCCCGGGGGCCCCATGAGTTGTCAGTCTACCCCTGCCGATTACAATAAATTAAGGGTTAATAAGGGGTTCAACAGAAGAACATTTAATTTAAAAAAATAAATACATATTTGACAGATTGTTTTTAACTTAACTGACTGAGGGCTGAATATTGGTCTGGAACGATCTACACAATCCCGGCGGGCAGAATGTGATGACAGCGATTTGAAATCTGAGCCAATCACAGCTGTGGGCGTTGTCTCCATCAGCCAGTAATGTTTGTCTGACGAGAAGTCCATAGAAATGTATCCGGAGATCTCGGTGTCGATGTTTCTAGTGCAGGAAGTGTTTTCTTGTTCTGTAGACTTTTCATTGATCTCTTCTCTACAACTAAATCAACAGACTAATAACTAGATCTTGTCGGGTTTTGTATTCTGAGGGATTGGAGGGAAAACAGAAATCTTAATAAACGTTCTTTATATGAATATTTGCAATGCTCTTATAATGATTTTTGGCTGATCGCAGAGCCCGGAATGAATGGAAGGATTGATCGATCTTCCCGGATAAAACGGTAAATGGATGCGGTCGGTTCTCTCCGTATCGGATTTGGCGGTAAAAGGGCGGATTGTCTGTGACGTCACATATAATTCCGGCGGGAGATTTGAATGAAGCAATTAGAAAGTGGATCCAATGACAGTTATAGACGTTTCCTTCAGATAGTAAAACATCTTTTTTTCTACGTGGAGTGTGAAGGAGGTGATGAGATCTGTTCCCTCAGTCGGGAGGATCGTTGTTCGGTATATATTGAACGATCTCTGATCTTCAGGAGAAACTCATCACAACTAAAGGAAGGCGGATAAGATCAGTCCCTGGAATAAGATGTCATTTCCCCAGAGTCTCACACTGAAAGCATTTTCTATTATTACTGTATAATTGTCATCATAATTAACATGTATAATATATTATTATAAACTATACAGTTTTATCATTTAAATGATAACAAATACAAAACTGTTAGTTATTTTAGATTTTGCAGCAACGTAGCTTGATAATTGACTTTGGGGGGAGGACCCACGCCATACATCTACAAATCCTAGATTGTAAGCTCTGAAGATCAGGGCCCTCCTATCCCTCTTGTATTGAACTGTATTGTTTGTGCTGTATTGTCTCCCGTTATATTGTAAAGTGCTGAGCAAAGTGTTGGCTCCATAAATCCTGTATAATCACCACAATCACCAGCCGCAGCCTCCGCAACCTGGACCCGGCCCCTCTCCACTCGGCAGCTGATCGTCTCTACGACAGTATCCTTCCACTGTCATGCCCTGACCTGGCCACTACTGCGTATAACAACCTGCTATCAGCTGCCTTAGACTCGTTGGCACCCCCAACCACACGCTGCACCAGACCCCGACCGCTCCAACCCTGGATGAATGACCACGAAAAAAATCTTAAACAACGCAGTCGTGCGCTGGAGCGCCTTTGGTGCAAAACTAGATCCCCCCAAGCTTTCTCCCTCTACAAATCCGCCTTTCTCACCTACACCTCCTCCCTCCACACAGCCAAACAAGCCTACTTCGTAACCCTCATTAACACCCTTTCCTCCAATCCCCTCCACCGAAAGCACCATACTCAAAATCACTAACGACTGCTATCCGCCAAACCTAATGGACACTACTCTGTCCTCTTACTCCTCGACCTCTCCGCGGCCTTTGACACAGTTGACCACCCTCTCCTCCTTAACAAATTACACTCCCTTGGCATCAGAGACTCCGCTCTCTCCTGGCTCTCCTCCTATCTATCCCAGCGCTCCTTCAGCATTACCTATAACGCTGCCACCTCCCCCTCTCTTCCCCTCTCTGTTGGGGTCCCCCAAGGCTCTGTCCTTGGGCCCCTTCTCTTCTCCATCTACACCTCCTCCCTCGGCAAACTGATACACTCCCACGGCTTCAAGTATCACCTCTACACTGACGACACTCACATTTACCTCTCCACCCCTCACCTCACCCCTTCAGTCTCCGTCCGTATCACCCACCTACTGAACGACATATCAGACTGGATGTCGCTCCATTTCCTCAAACTGAACCTTTCCAAAACTGAGCTCCTAATTTTCCCACAGCCCCCCACCCTCTCCATCACGACCAACAACGCTACCATCAGTCCCACCTTGCAAGCCAAGGTCGTAGGTGTCATCCTATACT